CTGCGGCTAGCCTCTACTGAAAAGCCATGTTGATACAGTACAGCCAGGAACACATCAGTGATGGAGACAGTTTTCTGAGCAGAGGATTGAAAAATTTGGTGCATGATTTATTGATTTAATCTGACTCCTCAGTAACCAGCATGTGTATGTATAGCAGGATTTAAGGTCCCAGTTAGCCTTATGTTGCCTGTTTGTTTGGTGTTTATCTGAATAAATGTGATTCTATACACTCTTCAGGGTTTTAAATTAGAGCAATTTTTCCAAATGAAACAAACGTAAAGACAAATAAACAAATAAAAGAGTCATAAACCACAAAGCTTGTAAATTGCATTGTTTTTGATGGAAATGGAAATAGTAAAAATTACAGCCAGTTTTTAAAAAAATGTAGATTCAAATGCTGCCTGGTGATAATTGACTTGTTTTGCTCCACATTGCGTGGTTTGTGGGAGAAGACACAGTGACTAACTCACTGCAGATAAACGCAGAAAATAGAAACTTCAAAGCGGACCTATAAACCATTTTGGGGTCAGGGTGAGCTGGTAGAGTTTTTATGATCTGAAATTGTGTAATTGCACAGTTCAGAGGAGAAAAACGGACTTCTATCACTGAGACTTTGTTTAGCTTCAGGAATATGAAAGAACGCCTCCCAAAAGCAAAAGCAAATAAGCTTCGGGCTGCAGGCTTGGTCACTAGGGTCCAATAAAATTGTTTTTCTCCGATCTTGGATGAATTCAAAGCTTGCGACTCCTTTTTCTTCAGGCTCGAGATTTATTTTAGTAGAGTGCAATTTATCTTTGATCAAATCTGAATTTCTGGCTCCAGATGTAGGGTACAGCGTGGCCTTGACTACAGCATTGAACCCATAGGGCTTCTGGTTCATCTGGCCCTCAAAGCACATTTTCTATTTTGCTAAAGTCTTAGAATAAAAACGATAGGCCAGGCATGTGTTTAGCTCGGACCTCCTGAGTAATTTCCCTTATATCCGCTAACCACAGCACCATGCCTCCTATTATTTTCTCTAAGGGTTTGATGAAGTTTGGAATCATGTTGTAGAAATCTGAGTTCGTGCAGCAAAGCTTTTGGCATCACAACCTCACCACAACAGAGCTGAGGGAGCAGATGTAGGTTATGCATTTATGTGTTCCAACATGGACTTTACAGAGGTTACCACTTGTTTTTGTACAGGGGTTAATTTACAAATTGGTTTGTAAAGTCATGCTTGGTACGGTATACATGTTCTATAGCAGAGTCACTGTGCAACAGTGATATGTACAGCGGAAACCTGACTTATAAATAGACAGAAATGAAAGAGAAAACAACTCTCAGATAGTTGTTTTTCAGCCATACGGAAGAGAAAGAAAGAGCCTTTTTGTCATTCGTTTGACCATTGTCTTAAAACGAGCAATACAAACCAGCACCACCATACACCAGCATATAAACCAGGCAGGCATGCAAAAACACACACAATAACATAATAAACTGGCAAGCTAAAAGTGTCGACATCAGTAGCATAATCAGAATAACAAACAATGCCCCTACAAAGACATGCACAAGTACAAATAATGAAGCTCAAACAGTGCAAGCTGCTGGTGATCCTGCAGCCATTCATCGTGATAAAACAGAAGGACGTGTTATGCTGCAACTATTATCATTAATATAACCACCAGATTGATAGGCTCAGCTTTCATAGCCTCAAAATGGCTAACGTAACCTACCTAAACACCTCTTGAGTAGTGTTAAAGTGTATATTTTCATTTGTAACTTGAACAAAGTGGCCTGTTAAAACCACACCAGTCTGTATGAATACTAAAAACCCTTGAAATTGTGTGTTCTTTTGTGGAAATGGATGTCCTACTCGCAGCTCAATAAAATGGAACATTTTCACAGCAAGCATTTTGACTTTTCATTGTGGGAAAAGCACAAGTGTTTTGACCAATTGCTCCCAGTAAGCCAGTACGTCATGACATTGAGCCAGCACTGAAGCAGCTAAATGAAATTCATCCACCATTAATTTTATTATTTGCTTGCTTTTCCTGCTCTGACATGTCAAAATATCAGAGAAAGTAAAATAAATTGAATATTATGGGTAGACATCACTAAAAAATAAGAGCTCAGAGATGATTAGAGACATATTGCTTTCTCCTATGAGGTTTAATTTGCAGTGGCAGTTTCATTTTGACATGCATTACTATACACACTGCATCATTTCCTGTTCTATTATTATATAAAACAATAAAGTATGTGAATTTATTATACACCAACGGACAAACCACAGGAGTTAATGATGACCACAGTACAAGGTTAGTGAATGTTTACCCTGATTATGATGTAGATTATTAGTATGGCGGTAATTACGCAGCCCAACAACAATAGGCTGTAAAACATAAAACATCTTAAAGTAATAAAGAATGATAAAGACGTAGAGAGACAGGGGTGAGTAACGGCAGAGACTCTTTGTCGCCTGAACTCTGACTGTGACGGTGTTTAATTGTGTGTGTTGTGCAGCAAGCTGTTATCAACACTGACCGTATCTAATTAATGCGGCACCTCGGATCTTCCTGACAGACTAGACATTATCTAATCCATTTTTGTTGAACAGTTTGGCCTCAGAACACTTAATGTCTTTCTCTTCATTGGCAAATCCCCTCGTGGAAAACTCCAGAAAGAGGCTATTTGAGCATGATACTATAATCAAGCAATGTCTGTCTTCACTTCTGGTCTTGGTGGCCTAATTGTTGGGAAGTGTACGCAGTTAAGATGCATAGGTGGAGCCACTTCTCAACAGTTATTACTGTAACTTCATGTTACATCACAGTTGAGACAAATTGATCAACCAGGGGTGGTTTGGGCTCTGAGAAATCAGCGGCAAGAACTAAATGTGCAAAAGCTGATCTTCATACAGCCTAAGGGATACAACAACAACAATGTTTAGTCTAGAAAATGTCGACATAAAACTAAAAAATACTCATTACAATCAATCCACAACCCAAAGTGTTTTATTTACTATCATATATGTAAAAGAAAAACAGCAAATCCTCACATTTAAGAAGCTGAAACCAGCAAACGTTTCACATTTTAGCTTGAATAATTTTCTTCAAATTGACTTCACAGTTCACATCACAGTTCGCAGCTCGGCTTTATACACTTTGGGACGCCCCTGTGCTGCTTCACGGTCAACTTTGAGCAAACGCTTTATGGTTTGATACGCTTGTATTGTCACCAGAACCTCTGTAAAACATCAGGCCTGCTTCAAGTCAATGCTCTTGCTATTAGGGAAATTATATGTTGCCAAATCCAGTAGGTGCACTTGGAAATTCTGAGTCATAATTTTGAACTTACAATGCGAGTGGTTTCCAAAGGCCACTCCCACAGCTATCACACTAAGGAACAAAAACTAAACAGTATTGTGATTTGGTATGACTAAACTAAACATTAATTCAATAAGTCCTTGAGCAATATCTTGAGCCTACCCGCTCGAGGGGCCCTGGTTGGCGGCTGAAACTGACCCCTGACCTCTTGCAAACACAATCTTCTTTACAGCCAACTTTTTTTTACTACAGCTAAAAGGTCAATTTCTGCAAATGTATGCACCCCCACTCCTCAACCAGACTGTGAATATCACTGATCACAATGCTAGGTCACATCATGCTTGATAAGTATTCAGATCATGGAGTGAACCGGTGTCCACAAGGCATAATTTCTATCATTTAAGACTAGGGCTAAGGCTGTAAGTGGCTGCTTACAGTAAACCAACATACTTAAAGGTTCTCAGCAGAGCTCAAACGCCAACAGAAACCATTAACAGGATAGTGATTTAAGGGTGACAATGTAAAGTCTACAGTATTACGCTTAAGTGTCCTTGAGGAAAAAAAATACTACACCCTCTGGACTGTGGTTTCTAGTTCCCCTTGACCTTTGACTTCTCTGTGCTGGCATACATCCTACCTATACGATCAAAATAACATTAACACTGAAATATCCTATTCAGGGGCAGATGTGTGAATTAGAAATGTGTTTAGGAAGCAGGAGTTATGCAGGGGTTTTATTTTTTTTTTACCCATAAGACATAAACCTCCATTCCTATAGGTGTCACTATAGTCGGCCATCCCCCCTCCCCTTTCATGCTGCTCCTTCTCCTCCTCCCATCCACCAAAACCTCCGCGAAAGGGTGTGCGTTTTGAAGGTTGTATGAAGCTAAACACCAGTGCAGAGGAGAGCAGTCGCCACTTGTGTTGACAACCCAGGGACGAGCCTCTGCAGCCGGGGAGGAGCACACCCAACCAAAGTCTTTCCCCCGACCCTCCCCATCTTCCCTCTGAGCTCCCCCCTCTCCGAACCAAGGTCTTGTCCTCCAGGGGGAGAACGGTGGCAATGCCGCATACACGGACACCGATGTCAAAAAAGTTGAAATTCACAGGTTTTACAAGGCAAAATGCAAAAGTGGCAGCTGTGCGGCTTCTCTTCAAGGTCAGTATCTGAGCGCCGCCGCCGCCTCACGGACCAGTTTCTCGGGCTGTCGGAGGGAAGAAGAGGCGTGGAGGGGATGCCTGCTGTGTCTCGCTTGCCTCCAGCATCAACCATGACATCTTTCGCCGAGGAGGAATTGGATAGTCAGTGACACAGAACACGGACAAAACTTGAGAAACACCGCTGTGTTGTTGTTGTTTTTTATTTTCATTTATTATTGTGCTTTTTACAGCACCGAAAGAAAGAAACTCTTAACAGCATCTTGACATTTCCTGCTTTCTTTCAACGGCCTGCATTAGTAGGTGCGACTGTTCACCTGAGCTACAAGCAGCCCCGCTGTTGTCAAGCTAGCTACCGTTGACTGACAGAATGGGCTTTCGGTTCTGTTGCAGCTGTTGACGGTACCTGTATATATAGGCGATTCGAACCGGCCGTTAAAGCCAGTTGGAATGTTCGACGGTTGGGCAGTTTGTTACCGAACGTGACGTTACGAAGTTATTCAACTTCCTTGAACTTGTTTGGGTTTTTTTTTTTTTTTTAAAACCAACTCATTTCTTTTTTTTAAAATTACATTCAAACATGGCTTCGCGGACAGGTACACAGAGCCCTGCCGGTATCGGTAAGAGTTTACCGGAGCGGGGACTGCTCCTGCTGATGGTTCTGGTGTTTCTGGAGGGCTCCGTGCTTCCTCTCGGAGCTGCAAGCTCTCCGGATGTCACTCACCAGGCAAATTCAGACAACCACAAAGCAGAGGAAGCGGGGCATAACTTCACTAAAAAGCCTTTCCCTGTGCTCAGCCTCGACTACCACCACATACAGACTCCTTTTGAAATCTCCTTATGGGTGCTGCTCGCCTCTTTAATGAAATTAGGTGAGTATACTGTGTTGGTGTCACGTACGTTATGTCAATGCTGCCTTTCCAGGAAATGCTATCTGAGGGTTAGGTTATGGTTGCAGATGTAGTCTGTGTAGGTGTGTTTGCCCCCTTTACAGATATATCAGATTCACCATTACCTGCGAATCAAAACAAATAAAGGTAGAGTTTGTTTTTCCAAGACTGCTCTTTGAATCCAAAGACTGGGTTGAACTATGAACTCAGACAACTCCTGCAGAGATAAATCAACTCACATGTAAGTCTTGATTTAGATAACGCCCCTGCAGGTAGAGCTATTGATGGACACGTTATGATTGACAGAAAGAACAAACTTATCACTTTACAGTTTACAGGATGACCTCTGCTGCCCTTTATTCTGCACATCAATTAAAGATGCCACCGGTTGTGCTGACACAACGAGTTTGAGCAGAATAGCTGAATTCAATTGGTGACTCAGAGGGTAAATCTATATTGCTGGTCACGCAGATTACTCATCAGATCTGTCGGTGGTCTTCTGCTCGCGCTGTGCTTACTCCTTGCTACAGTGATGACTAAGCAGCTTGATGCAGCAGTCTGGGATGTTGGACAGAAACTATTTGGCAAGTTTTCAACGCGCCGGGGAACCTTCTGCTACGCTATTGCGAGCCAAAGCCTCACGGCGTTGTCCCCGAAAGCGACAAGCAAAATATGAGTTGAACCACCACCACCCAACTGCTTCGTGCTCTCCTTTCTTTCCGGTTTCTACGTCCTGTCTCTCCCTGCATCATCAATCCCCCCCCCTCGCGCTGCGCTTTCCACAGCACCGCATTGTCCCCTGCTATCTTTTTTTCTTTCTTTCTCAGAGCCAGCAGCTTGTCATTTCCTTGTGACATCAGGGGAGAGGAGAATACAGCCTTCACTGTCTGGGTCGAGAAGCCCGGCGTCTCTGGGGAGGGGACAGGCAAGCCACCGGGACCACCTGGCCCCGGTGGCTCTCTGTCGGGAAGCAGCTCAAGGGCATGGAGTGAAAAAGGAGAGTTAGTCAAATGAATGATGGAAGTGCAGGAAGCAGATGGGAGGCAGAAAAGAGCTGGGACTGGATAAGTGTGTGGGCTGACAGCAGCAGACAGTGGTGACCTTAAGCCTTTGATTATCCCTGGATGGTTGAAAATGGGCCGCGGGTAATTCAATGTGGCTGCTACAGTTTTGTGCCTCGGTTCAGCATCTGATTCATGTTCATAGACCTAATATCGCACGAGCCTAAAAGCCCATCCTCGGTCCATTTATCTCTTAAGGAACCCTGTCTCTGCCATGGTGCCTTTCTGTCCTTATTTTTCACATGAGTACTTTTCTTGGATTGATTATACCCAGTGCAGTGGCTTTTCTTATGTAACACCAAACCCAGAAAACTCCCTAACAGTTGCAAAGTCCTATTTATGAGACACGTTTATTTTGGCTCCTGCAATTAGGCTACAGGCCAGTATTACACAGAAATAACTATTCTTTATCGACCTATGGCGAAAGCTATAATTGGCGCGGGAAGCTGACTATATAGTCATAAAGTGATCCGTTTTTTTTTTATCTCCGTGTTTAGATGAAAGGTGAGTTCTTAAGGATCTTTGTGGTTATACTCAGGAAGGATTAATGCTAAGACGCTGTTATCTAAACGACATTGTTCCACATTCGTTTTGTGAATGTAATATGTAACAAGACGCTCATAAACTTCACCTGCGGTCGTAAAGAATAATGAGTACGCCTGTAGTAGGGAGTCGGGCTTAAAATAGTTCAGTCTTATCAAACACGCACGCAGCACTGACTCTCAGATTGACCTTTCGGTTAGGTTCGATCTGATAATATTCACCGGTAATGCACAAGTGGGCAGTGTGGTAAGAAGCCAGTTATTCCAGCGTTCCCCTCCTTCCAGCAGGTCGAGTTTGTCTCACCTGTCATTTATAATTCACAACTGGCCAAACAATTTGACAAGAAGGTGTGTGTTACATCAGTGTGACACTCCATGAAAGACACTCAACATTACATACAGAGGTGCTGTTATAGTTGTTGTAGTAGTGGGAGTTGAAGGAGCGAAGAGTAAAATAAACAATGAACATTTTGGATTTCTAGCAGCTTACTTTATGCCTGACCGTGCTGTGCTTGTACAGCTATAACCCGTGTTCTTGCAGTTTTATGTTTTGGTGAGAATAAAGAATTTAACTGGTTGTTATCAACACAAGCTTTGTTTATTATTAACAGACTTGCAGTATTTGTAATTAAACCAAATTACTGTAACTGTACTGTATAAACTCAGTGCATTTGTCTAAAAGCAAAAGCTGTTACAAGCACATACAGTAAGTAAAAGGACCTTAAGTAGAAGTTTGGTTATTTTTAGAAAAATCGGGTAATTTGTTATTCTGTGTTTTTATTGTATATTCAGACAGCAGGAAGTGACATCAAGGGAAATACTGAAACTCACTCATTCCTGGGAGGACAGCGTAGATACAGATCCAGAGCTGAGGGAATATAAATGCAGATTTTGAGAGCTGATTTTTGTTGTATACTAAGATATTGCACATATTCAATGCCAACGCAGAACTGTTACATCAGCAGGCGTAGGATTATCAAACATTAAGGGTTAACTAATGGCTGTAATCTGTTTCTGATACAATGGAAACTCCCTGTCAGGTTTTGTTAAAACTTTTGCCCTTTCATGTGGTTCTTTATGATTCTCACATGAGGAACTGTGAAAGCTTTAGGCTGTGTTGCCTTATAATCACCAGACTTGAATGTAGTTTAAAGTGTGTAGTTTAATTTTCTAAGATCCCTTATTACTCGGATCAACACTGTTTAAGGAATGGTTTCATTGTTTTGCTCGTTTGTTTGCAGAGTAAATGGTTCCCTTAGAGTCCTACCCAAGGATTGCTTTATCTAGGGTCAACAATTGATGATAACTAAGGTTGGAGACGTTATCGGTGTCACTGAGTTTACTCACAGACCACCTGTATGTGTCCCTGCTAGTACTTCCTGCTCCAGTCACTGTATTTCTTTTAATTAAATCACAACGTTTTCTCAATAAAATCAAAATTTCGGCGGTGTGCCAGAATCAATGTAAGACTCAGACCACTCTTTGACAAGACATATGACTGTAGGAGTGAGTAGAGTCAGTATGTCTGATTCTGATTATCAGCTTTAACTAATACGTTTGTTGTTTTGGAGTCCAACTTTACAGGCTTTGGTAAACCCATTAAGAAACATGGCCCTTAATATTGTCCTTATCTAAAATGCCTGTGTGGGAAAGAACACACACCCTTGGTAAAGCTTAAGTCAAGGGGACAAGCTAAACACATCTTATCTTTCATGTGTTACTTATGTTGTGATTTAGCACAGTTCTTTCCTTAAAGAAAAAAAGTACATTAGTTAGTTGGTTAGGTATGGGAATTGATTATTTTATTGATTCTCTATCAGTTTTCTGTGCAGAAAAAAGAAGGCCTGCCTTGTCAACGCAACTGTTTTTTATTTACTTCTTATCTCTGCGTCTGAACACAGTGTAGAAACAGTAGAACAAAGGCGTACAGGTGACTGAGGTGTACAAAAGCTCCGCTGTTTAATTTGGAACCGATTATATTTACGGTATTTGTTTTCATTTAGGTTTCCCTAGTCAAAGAGAAAATCTACTAAGCCTTCCGGCTCGACGCTAATGTTATTGTAACATAGGATATTAACTCTCTGTAACGGACACGCTGCTTGGTTTGGTCATTGTTTGGCATTGCGCAACTGTCAGAAAAAACATGCCGGTTCTTGATTCAATCTCTACACATAATCTTAAAAATTGATGTCTTCTTGTTGATATCTAAAGCCCTATTCGCACCGGACTAGTAATACCTGGGGACCTCTAGTAATTGGTAATAATTGCGGAGGTTGTCTGTCATCTTAATCCCGTGCGAATCTGCCGTGTCCGTAATTTGTAAAGTAAAATTCACCGCAAATGCTTATTATTTCACCCACGGATGGTTTTTCATGTGTAGTATCCAGGTCGTGCGATCGCATCTCGGGGATTTTGGGGTCTTTTTTTTTGGATGTTACGCAGAGCCTTGACACCATATCCGGGGGACAATGTCAGTAAATCCGAGTTAAAACACAGACTTCGCTTAAATCGCATGAGGTCCCCAGGTAATACTAGTCCCGTGCGAATAGGGCTTAAGACATTCAAGTAGAGGGTCTTTAAAGCAATAATACGGACAGCACGGTGGCTCCCCCCATCAAAACATGTATGTTAGGTTCATTCTCCAGTCAGTACCGTTCACCGAGGCATTGGCTCAGATCTGTTTTAATAAAATGAGCTCATGGGTGCATCAGTGGCTTGTGCTCTTTACCCTAATAAAAGTATCTGCCTTATCTAAAATATTGCTGCCGTCTGTGTGAAATAAGATCTCTTGGCAGCTACAAGACAACTTCAAAGGTGGATGTACTGATTATATCCACACTGTTACCACTTATCCTTCTTATTTCCTTCTTCTTTGCCTTCCTTGTCTGTTTTCTTTAGATGTGAAACAGACACTAAAAAAAGGCCGATGTACAGTAGAGTATTGCTTGTAACAGACATTTGATACTGTCACTGAATTGCATTTCATTCAGTAGTTATAGTGGAAGATGTGCTTGTGCAGTGAGGATCAATTAAAAGTGTTGTGGTGTTAACACAAAACCTCACGAGGAATCACCCGTGTGAGTCAGTGGTAGCGTTGCACAGACATGGCGCCGGGGATCATACTGAAATATACCAGCAGCAGGCCGTTATTAATAATTTAAACCAATGCTGGTGATACTGGAGGAGCACAATGATCTGCATCATACAATCAAACAACGGCCCACGAAGGCTCATATTTTAAACTTCTCTTGAACTTCCTGGAAACATCAGTATGTTTTGTTGCAAAGCTCGCCAGCTAGTTTAACAGCTTGATTTCTAGGAAAGGTAATCAAATGTATACATGACCAGTAACCTTCTTCAACAAAGCGACTGTTTAAATGTGATCTGTCTACTGTTGGCTTGCGTTCATCAGGGCAGATCTGTTGGCAGCAGTGTAATTAGTACACCTGGAAACGACACAGCTCCAGCTGTTTGGAATTGATGTGTGGCAGCAGGTGCCAGGGCTGTGCCTGAACTGGGTACACAAGGCACAAGGTGACGATAGCTCTTGACGCCTTTTGGCTGGTTTTCAATAACGCTTGGTGTTGCCATAAAGGCTCTCAGCCAGGGAGTTTGGCAAAGACACAGTGCCCGGCTTTTATTATACCACAGCGAGTAACACTGTCGTCGTCCCTTCATACATGTGTCTGAACAGCTCTGTATGTCTTTGGAAAGTCCAACTGCTC